GTGGGTGCCCCCCACCCCCCTGTCGTAAGGTCTGTGTAGCATTTGCTCTAGAAATAGTCTTCCTGCAATAAAGAAGTGGATCCTATGGTTCCCACCGGTGCGACTTCTTTGGGTTTGGGGGTCAACGGGCCATCTGTAAAGGACGAGGAGATGAAGAATGGGGAGGTGAGGGATGGAGGTGAGGGGCAGGGTAAAACGTGGGGGCGAGACAGGGAGGGGCTGAGAGGTGGCCAGTGAGAGCCACGTGGGTGTGGGGTGGTGAGAGGTGGGGATGTGACATGTGGACAGGAGACAGATGAGGAGGTGAGAGAGGGCCACGAGGAAGGGAGGAGAGGCACGAGCAGTCTGGGTTTGTCCCGTCTCCTCGGGCCTCAGTTTCCCTATTCACTTCACACGTATTATCTGGGGGCACCTTCCCAGCCTGGCCTCTGTGAACTTGGGCCACTGCCCTGCGGGGCTCAGCAGAGGGGGTGTGTTGGGGGAGCTCACGGGACCCTCGCTCTGCTCACCCCAGTCCTGAGCAGAGAGGGACCTTCCTCCTCCCTGCTCCTGTCCCATGTGACTTCTCACCTGCCACTCCTCCCCGTCCACGCAGACTAGGCCAGGCAGGCATCTCAGTGGGAAGGGATAAGGCCTGGTTCCGGGATAAACTGGGAAGAAGATGAGACACCATCCATTTACTTCTTCGTTCGTTCATTCATTCATTCAGGATCTAATAGATACCAACTGTGTGCCTGGCCTTCCCTGGATGTTGGACACACAGCAAACCCGACTCAAACTCCAAGGTCTCTGGCCTCTCGGAGCACGTAACCTACCGGTGGGGAGGACGCCCCCCTCCCAAACACACACAAAGAGCTGAATCAGATCGTTTTGGATTCGTGCTGGGGACAAGGGCAACCTGGACCACAAAAGTGACGTGGTGGCAGGAGTTGGGTGGTTAGGAAGCCTGAGCTGACTGAGGAGGTGACATTGAACCGACATGGCAAGGCGGAGTAAAGGCCAGCCCTAAGAGAGTGAGCTGGGATGGAACACCGGGTCGGGGGGGGAACAGCGTGTGCAAAGGCCCTGAGGCAGGGACCGACGAAGGCCGGGAGAGGAATGAGGGGACGTTGCGGCGAAGGGGATCAGAGAGGTGGGCAGGAGCGAAACGGGGCCTGGGGGGCTGCGGGGAGAGTCTGGACTTCTATGACAAGGACACCGACCAGAGCGTCATGAAACCTCGTAGCCCCCATAAGAGATCTCACAGGCCCTGCTGGACCCCGCACTTACTGCAGCCAGCCGAAGGGCTTAGGCAGGCACTATGAGCCCATGTTACATGGGGAGGAACCCACAGGCCTTAGTTTCCCCATCTG